TTTCCTCCCAAGAAAGTGCTTTCTTGTGAGGAAAGTGGAGGGGGGAAAGCACTTTCTTGCGAGGAAAATTGGGGGGGGGAAGTACTTTCTTGTGAGGAAAGTGGAGGGGGAAAGCAGGAATCATCAAAGCAATTCATCAAAGCTTTCATCATCCACTTTCTTGCGAAGAAAGAAAATCTAGGTTAGAAAAGTGGGAGGGGCATCTTATATGTGGGGATATATTATACATGGAAAAATACGGTATATTTTTTCCAGCCCCGGCCAGAGTTCTTACCTCCACTGGGAATGCAAGATAACAAAACAAAACTCTTATTCTCCACAGTCATCTTCCTATTGTTTGTGCAAAATATGGCAGCAAAGAAATAGTGTTTTTTTATGTTTCCTCCCAAGAAAGTGCTTTCTTGTGAGGAAAGTGGAGGGGGGAAAGCACTTTCTTGCGAGGAAAATTGGGGGGGGGAAGTACTTTCTTGTGAGGAAAGTGGAGGGGGAATGCAGGAATCATCAAAGCAATTCATCATAGCTTTCATCATCCACTTTCTTGCGAAGAAAGAAAATCTAGGTTAGAAAAGTGGGAGGGGCATCTTATATGTGGGGATATATTATACATGGAAAAATACGGTATATTTTTTCCAGCTCCGGCCAGAGTTCTTACCTCCACTGAGAATGCAAGATAACAAAAAACTCTTATTCTCCACAGTCATCTTCCTATTGTTTGTGCAAAATATGGCAGCAAATAAATAGTGTTTTTTTATGCGCACACTCAGTGCCTGGGTGGGCACTCCTATTGTTTGTGCAAAATATGGCAGCAAAGAAATAGTGTTTTTTTATGCGCACGCTCAGTAGTGTGCACAGAATGACATAGTTGCTAGCAAAGATGCAAACAGCTTCTCCAAGACTCCTGTTTTTGACAAGCATCAGCAGTAGCGTTTTGCACAGTACTGTAATGCACAAATGTTTTGCAAATACAGAAATTCTGAAGCAAAAAATCCTTGCTATCTCAGAGTGCAAAGATTTATTGGGGGGGGAGAGTTTCTCATTTACTGTATGAGGACATGACACATCAGGATTTAGATCCTTATGCAATCAAGATTCAGATCCTATACAGGCAAAGTTTAAGAGCTTGGGGGCCAAATTCAAACTCCTAATCCTCATTATGAGCTAGAGCAGGCCCAGAAATGGCTGAAAACATCATTTAAAAAAAATCAAGCAGGAAGTGCCTGGGTGGGCACGTCTGGCTCCTTTTGTGAGGGAGGATGGTTGTTGTGGGGAACTGCTTGTCTTAGAGGTGTTTTTTGACCAAAATAGATAAGTCTGGCCCTAAAAAAGGTGTGTGTGTGAACTTGGTGATCTATGAGATAGCCGTGGTAACCACAAAGATAACCTGGGCAGTGGGTGGTGGCTGCCAGCAGGCTGCTAACAGCATTTAACCCATACTCCCCTACAGGGAAGAGCTTTTCTTGTGGAATCCTCATGGGGTATTGCTTGTGGTGCAGGTTGAGAGCTTGAGTTTGGCCTCCAAACCCTTAGTGACCTATGGTGCAACCTTAGCATGCACACTCTTGCCTCTGACACTGTAATCTGCTATTTTAACCTACTTGCTTCTGGTATCATTCACAAGATCTGTATATACAGTAGGATAAAACAGTACATGCGGTGGATAACATTGCAAGATTGGTGGCTCAGTCCCGAAGGCCCTGCAGTATCCCTAGCGTTGTGGCACACTTGCTTTTTAGAGAAGCTGCTTCTGCACCTTGGGGGCGATTTGTACTAAAGCACCAAACAAGGAGGGTGGTGAACCCCAATGGAGGCGTGCAGAATATAGGAAAATAATTGTTGTAGGAACTGTCTTATCTTCACCATTTTGGTATACGTTTTATTTTTGCAGATGGCTCAAGAGCTAGGAATTAGTGAAAGGTCGCCAGACTACCGGAATCCCTTTAAAACAGACAATTCTGAAGTAAGATTATAGAGCTGTGAGTCCGTCTTCTCTGTTTTTGCCTTTCTTCTGTTTCTCTGATAGTTGCCACCTCACTTTGGAATGACAAGGAAAGAAATGGGCAATATTGTGCTTTTTTGACATAATCACTCTTAATAAGCATATGTCTCCACACAGCTTGGGACTGGGTGATGTTGGTGACATGGTCTACCTGGAATCTACTTTAGTTGATGGTACAGACCGTGGCATTCAGAGGAGAACTTGCAAAGGGAACTAGTGCAAAATGTAGCCTGTCCAGATTCTCTTTCAGAAATGTAGTAGTTCCACAGTAAAATTGTCCAGGGCAGAATGAAAAGTTGACTATAGAATTCTGCATAGTACTTTATTCAAGAGCTAATAGGATATCTCCTTTCTGTAAAGAGAGCAACCCTCACTATGTTCCAGTTAAGACTAGTAGAACAGTCTCTGAGGAGAGATGCAATATGACTATGTACCATTCTTCCCTTCCCCGGTCTGTTGTGTGGGAATAGGAGAGTGTGAGACTAGTAATTATGGGAACTCTACAGAAATGCTTTTAGTCTGAATGCCCCTTGAGCAAGTGACTTGTCTCTGTTTGTGAACTTCTGTTCCAGTAGGGAATTCTGATCATGGGAGTAGGCAGAAAGGGTAAGAGGAGTGCAATATTTCCCTCTGCTATAGAGCACTGGGAAAGGATCCAGGTTGAAGTCCCTAGAGACTCATGAAAACCTTTGAGCAAACATGGGCCAATTAATCTCAGACTGATCTACCATGCAAATTGTTGTGAAGATAAAGAGGGAAGGATGAGGCGGTAATATGTACCTATTGGAAGTCATTGAAACTACACAGAAAACTGGTATACGCTGAAGGAAGAGGTATGGGATGAGGCGGTAATATGTACCTATTGGAAATCATTGAAACTACACAGATAGAAAACTGATATACGCTGAAGGAAGAGGTATAGTTGGCTTGCGAACTATGAGACTTGTGGAAAGAAATATAGAGTCATAGATTTGGAAGAGACCACTGAGGCCATCCAGTCTTACCCGGTGCCATGCCGGAACATCCATCAAAGTACTCCCAACAGATGGCCATCCAGCCTCTGCTTAAAAACCTCCAAAGAAGGAGGCTCCACCACCCTTCGAGGCAGCCTATTCCACTGCCGGACAGCTCTGACCATCAGGAAGTTCTTCCTAATGTCCAGGTGGAATCTCTTTTCCTGTAGTTTAAAACCATTGCTCCGTGTCCTAGTCTCTGGAGCCCTGGAAAACAAACCTGTCCCCTCCTCAACATGACATCCTTTCATATCTTTAAACATGACTATCATGTCCCCTCCTCAATCTTCTTTTTGTAAGGCTAAACATTCCCAACTCCCTAAGCCGCTCTGGACATGTTCCAGGTTGTCTACATCCTTTTTGAACTGAGGTGCCCAGAACCGGACACAGTATTCCAGGTGAGGTCTGACCAAAGCAGAATAAAGCAGTACTATCACTTCCCTTGATCTAGATACTGTACTCCAATTGATACAACCAAGAATCACATTGGCTTTCTTGGTAGCTGCATCACACTGCTGACTATGTTCAGCTTGTGGTCTACCAAGATTCCTAGATCCCTTTCACAGGTGCTGTTGTCTAGCCAGGTGTCTTCCATCCTATATCTGTGCAGTTGCTTTTTTCTGCCTAGCTGTAGGACCTCACGTTTCTCCCTGTTAAAATTAATTTTGTTAGTTTTGGCCCAGGACTAATCTGTCAAGGTCATTTTATCCTGTCCTCTGGGGAATTAGCAACCACTGCCAATTTGGTATCATCTGCAAATTTAATCAGCCTACACTCTATTCCTTCATCCAAGTCATTGATAAAGATGTTGAATAACATGGGACGCAGAAGAGAACACTAGGTCGCCCCACTAGTCACCTCTTTCCAGGATGAAGGGGAACCATTTGTAATCACCCTTTGGGTTCGGTCAGTCAACCAATTACAAATCCACCTAACAATAGCCCTGTCTATCCCACATTCTACTAGCTTATTTGCATATAATGACCCTGAACTCTGTGTGCCCACATGATTGAGCTTATCCTATTTTCTGTCAGTTCTTCCAAAGCACAGATACATTCCAGAAGGCTCTCAGAGAGGAAGAGAAGCGGAGGAAGAAAGAGGAGAAACGGAAGGAAATCCGCAAGGGGCCTCGCATCTCACGCTCGCAATCTGAATTGTAATGCTGCCACCACCTGCCATGTCCCTGGGACTCGTGTTGGTGGGAGCTGAGGCAGTTGGAGAAGGAACATCCCAATCCCATGGTGACCTCAGGAAAATGCCAGGCTGTTGAGGGTTTTTTTTTTGTCAGATTTTGGAGGTTTTATTTCTTGTTTCAGCAGGACTTTGGCAACTACTTGGATTGAGTCCTGAGAAATTGCCAAATGGAGATTAGTAGTTGAGCACATATTTTCACATGGGAAGATATTTCCAAGCACCTGGAATGTAAAGAGTTTGTCAGGGACTGTCCTCATGTCTCTGTGGTTGTTTTGTTTTGGAGTTAGTTTTAATAGAGATTTTTGGTTTTTGTTTCCTATGACTTTGCCTGTTTGTAATGCTAAGAGTGCTTCTGGGAGGGAGAAAGAGGAAAGGAATTTCTGTGGAACATGCCACCTCTACAATTTAATAGCACAGGATGCTGTGTTTTCTTATGCAGTCAGAACGGTAAGGTGATGTGGCTATAATGTATTTCTTTTTCTGAGCAGCAAATAAATGTTGAAGGAGTTTTGAATTCTATTAAAGGTGAATATTTTCAGAAAGTCTAAGCGAGTATTCTTAAACTACCAACCTTTAAATATATCTGTGCCATAGGTCCTATGGCATAGGGCTTCAAAAAGATGCTGTTTTTAACAGGACACACTAATTCAAAGCCTCTTTTGGTTATATAATGGCCTCTTCCTTTCACAGGAGTATTAAAACATTTTTTCCTTAAAAAGGAAGGAAAAACACTTACTGTATTTTGGCTGAAGAAGATGCCTATAAGGATGCAAGCTAATAAAGAGACTGAGGTAAAGTGATACAAGCCTTGGGACCTGTATGAGCTGGCTTGGTAGGTGCTGAGTATTGATGCCACTGCTAACTGTCACAGTTTTTTTTAAAGCAGTGTTACCACCACTACTCAGTGGGGGGAAAAACAAAAGGTTATGGTGATTTTATTCCCCTTTCTTATAACAAGGGATGGCCCTTTGTTCTCTTTAAGATACTAAAAGAGCTAGGGAGTACTATAGTATATGAACTGCCATATAAATTTCTTTGGCCCTGTTATCTAATGGCAAAAGAGTAGATCTGTTTTGTCCATGTCAGCTGACTTTTTAACTTTCCACTAAATCTCGTTTGCTCCATTTATAGTAACTTTGATATTTTGATGGTGACCTTTGTTTTGAAATGTCAGGATGACGAGATACCAATTTGCCACTGTTCTAATACTGGGGAAGAGACAGAAAGTCTGACAGTGTGATTTTGTTCTGTTCTTTTTTTCCTCTTATACCAAGAAACCAACCTGGACGTGATCAGGAATGTTCTGAGGACATATTTCTACTTATCTGCTGCCTTAATGTTCAGCGGGAACATGTTGCCTTTTTCTTGATCTTTTCTAGCATTCCACATAGGCTAGGATTTTGGATTCCAGTACTCCGGCTTCAGAGCAGAGATCAGCTAATGTTGGCCATTGTACAGACAGTACTCTCATTCTGATCCAGATTTTCTTTACTGGGGAGATGATTTGTAGATTCACACCTTTATACACACACAAACAGGTACACTATAGGCATTTGGCCCAGAATTACTACATTTGGCACAGTGGGTAGTTTTTATTTAGGACTGGAATCAATTCACACCAGCAGATGTCTATCAGTTCATATAACTGGAGCACTAGACTTTCCCTAGCTGTAAGACTGGCTGGTGTCATGAGTAATTCTAGAAAACAGCACCCTTGTTGCATTTGGCAATCTTGGTTTGGGATAGAGTTTTCTTCTAAAATTTTTGACTGATTTGCACAGGTCTAGAAGATTGCTTGGTCTTGCCAGTGGGTGATTATTTTGTGGGAAACCTAAGGGAAAGGTCTTTCAGGGGATGTTGTGGTTTGCCTTGTCACCTTCAAGTTACTTTACAAAAATTAAGACACCTTTTATTTTTGGAGCAGAGAGCCTGTTATGCTTGATTTGTTTCTGAATATGTATTTAAACTGGATGTCGATTTTGTTTTTCTTGAATAAAACGGAACATTTAAAAAGACTTCCAAATTTGGCACTTAATTTGTGAGCTTGGTTTTAGAAGCATGAAAGATGGTTTTTAGGACTGTTAAATATGAAGGTAGAATGTTGTCAAAGCAGAGACCTAGTAAAGGTAGCCACCTCTGGTATCTTATCTGAACACCAGAGAGGACTGATTCCTCATGTAGATATATGTAACTGCAGTAAAATTATAGGAAGACACATTCAATATCTGAGCCTATTATCTACTTATAAATGTTTGGGGTACAGATGAACTTGGTTGTTTGCTTCTTCATGACTTTTTTTTTGGCAAGGAAATGTTTTATTTCATTTGATGTCTTAAGATGAGGTTTCACCCAAAATATGTTACCTTTATTTAACCAGCTGTAGATCAGGCGGTCTTCATATTCAGATAACATTTTTCTAAGTGGCACTTTTATAGGCTTTACAAATGCTCATATTAAAATATCAACATTCATGGTAATATAAAAGAATAAGTCATAACTATGAAATTAAGCCTGAAGGCATTCATTTACCATAGCATATCTCTGAATATAAAATAATATTCGAATTCAAACACATTTAGAAGGCAAAGATACAGACATGACATAATTTCATACAAGTTCAACAATCTCCATTTGTGAGATTGTAACACCAGATTCTGACAAACATTTGTAACTGCCTGTGTGCTCTGTTTTGTGCAGTTTATGTGCCTGTTCTTGGACACAAAAATGTGCTCTTTAAGCACCTTAGCATCTGGTGCCTTTCACTGAGTGGAGCACCAAGAACCTTTAGATCCTTTCAATACAGTTCAAGCTATTATTGCATGTGCCATTAATATACGTAAACCAAGGCCAGGATTTGAAGCACTGGTTGACCTCAAGCATACATCAAAGAGTATGTACATGTTCAACGTTTAGGGTAATGTGTGCTGTGTAGGAACTCCCTTATGTTGGGCACATGTGTGTAAGTGCCATGATTGCAATAGGATATATTTTGTTGTCCTTGTGCCAATAAGTCACTAGAACTATGTCTTATACCAGATTCAGTCTTGGCAATAAATGGAAGCCCTTAAGATTTTTGCTGCCATTGTCAAATATGTTCTTATGGTTCTGTGTATCCAACACAGAAATGGCTGATTTAGCTTTCATCTTTTTCAAAATGGATGAAACACTGAATGCTTTGTGTCATTTCTTTAATGTTAGGTTACTTTTCATATTTGTAAATTACCAAATAACTTCAAGAGTCAGTATGTTGTAGTAGGTGGAGTGTTGTACTAGGAGTCAGGAGATTTGACTTCAGATCCCTGCTGGGCATGGAAACACACTGGTGTGTGTACGTAACAATGATAAACCACTCCTTGAACATCTCACATAACTTTAAAACCCTAATAGAGTTGCCGGAGACAAGTTGATTTTTATCAATCTAATTTTTTTAATCTTGCCTTTGTTCTTAAGAAGGATGGCACATAACAGCAATGAAACATTTGAACAACTTGTATCAGTTAGATAAACACAAGGTAATTCCCCCCAAGCATTTCTGAGGAATCAAAAATACAGAATACTGTATCTGTGATACCTTCTAATACACTTCTGATGCAATTCTAATGGGCATGAAGGAAACCTGAAGCCATTGTATCAGAATTGATTTATTCCTAATGAAGTATAAATAGCACATATTTGTAAAGGTCATAAAGGATCTGTAGTTTTGAGGTTTTGATAAATAACATCTTGTTGCTTATAATAGTAAATTGCACTTGACTGGTGCCATTGGACCAACAGGGATTTACAAGTCAACTCCCACTTAAGTTCCATTGATTCAAACAGGCTTACTGTAACTGTGATTTACTATGCTAAAATACAATCTACTTTTTTGGATGTATCTGAATAAGTGGACTTAAATTTATGAAAAAGCACAGGATAAAATTTGTTAGTCACATGTGTTGCTAAACTCTTTTGTCTTACTATATATAGTTTTCTAGTACTTTGACATAGCTTCAACTTATTGCATTACTTTGTATATGTCTCTTTTCTTTTAACAAGAGCTGGCGTAGTTTACCATTTAGTTGAGTTTGGTTGTCATAATCAGAAAATGCATAAGTACATTTCAGTAATATAAAGTAAGCTATTTTAGGAACATATGGCACATGTAGGAATAAATATGCCTTATTTTGATTATCAGCAGTCCTTTGTGCCTTAGAATTAATCCAGATAATTAGTTTTACAAGATTTAAAATAATCAGTTCCCATTATACTTCCTATAAACTGATGCTGTAGGCCCAAACAAGAACAAAAAGAAATTCAAGTAATACTTGACTAAGTATTGAGACCTTGTTCTTTTTCTAGTGGGACTGGAAAATAAGTGAGTCACTACTTGTATAACAGATGTGGAGGTGGGTGAAAGATGTAGAAAGATAAGAAATCAGCATCTGATATGAACTTTTTTTTAAAGGAGAAAGCATAAGAAACTATTGCTGGCAGCTGATACCTTTTGTGGTTGGTGGGTTTTAGAATAGAGCAGCCAGTGGTGGAGGGAGGCAGAAATGACAGACACAGCCAGGAACAAAAATGAGTATTAATTATTTATTTAGGCAGGCAAACATTTCCACATCCGCATATAGAAGCAGGCAGGAATTCATTCAGTGTCTCATGCTCACTCCTTCATTTTACTCCACTTATCAGTTGAGGTGTAGAAAGCTACACCCTTCCCCCAAATTAGGAATATTCCAACTTGTTGCTGCTTGTCTTTGGGCTTGGTTTCAAAGCTGGAAAGTTGACCTACTCACATTCATTCTCTCTCTCTCTTTTTTCTTCTTCTACTGAGTTGGAAGCTGAGCTGGAAGGGAACCCAGGCAAGGCCCTGATTCTGTTTGTTTCTGGTAAAAAGGCAGGCAAAGGTGGGATGGTTGTAGGTAACCTGAGTCTAAAGTGTGACACTGCCTTATTTACCCTAACAGATAAGTACAGTATTTACTGTCTCCATCTCCATAATAAACCAGTTATGTGCCATCAAGAACCCCCATACAGTATTTATTAGCAGTTTGTCACTCCTAACAGTTGGATAGACTTCTCAACAAAAAACTCAGTAGGTACAGGGTATCATAGTATTGTAATGGGGACAGGGATGTGCATTTAGATGTGCAATATTAATTGAAGGATATTTGCATGTTGCTTTTTCTGTTAAGCCATCTGTAGAGTACATGGTATTTGAAATACCCAGTCTTTGAATGAATGTTCAGTAGGGAGAATGTTTCAAGAAGCTGTATTATATGCACAAATTGGTAGACTTTGTTATTTTCAGGTCACAAATATGGGGGAGTTTTGTTTATTAGAATTTACACATGCTGCTCTTGCAGAAGCTGCCATACCTGCAGGGAGGTGGCCTATATTGACTGCAAGAGCTTTTGCTTTGACAGGTATGGAATTTCCTGGGTATTAAAAAAGAAGGGAAAATTCTTAACAGGAGAGGGGTTGGAACACTGGTATATTTTCCCATATTTTCTCTTTGCTTGTTCTTTTAAAGGGATTTTTTTAAAAAAAATCCCCTTATGACTGGCAGTTGTTACTGCTCATGCCTTCCTGAATGCATGAAACCTTGCCCTAAATTGGTAGTTGTGCTGTCCTATACAATTTAGCCAGAAATTGTAAGCTGTGCCACCAAATAGTCATCCGTGTGGTCATTTTAAAAACTGCCTATTTCCAAGGACAGATAATCAACTTCTTCTGTCCTAAACGGTCAATATCAAACACGTGGGACCACTACACCATAAATCTAGTTTTGGGATGAAGAGCTGCACAGAACCAAAATGCTTGCTCAGTATTTTGAGTCTTTTGGTTTGCCTTTAAAAGGGCATTGCCCAACTTCAGGTAAGTCGTTTCCTTCACTCTTTGAGAACTCAACATTTTTTGTGACTCTTAGCTACGCATACTTCCTCCAATTTATGAGATTGAATGAGATCCAGGAAAGCTTACAACCAACGCAACTTACAGAATGCTGACTCTCTTCTTTTTGCCATGCCCCTGAAAACCTGCTTGTGGCGTTAACCCCATGGCCCCTGCTTGTTTTACCAAACCCAGAGCTCACAAAGGTATCCCAACACCAGTTGATCTCTTTATCAACTTATTTTTCTTTTGAAAGACTAAGGTCCATCCAGTACTGACTTTTTAACAGAAACAAGTTTATTGATTACGCTTGGTTTCAGTAATAATTCTTAAGCACATACTTAAAGTATTGATTACGCTTGGTTTCAGTAATAATTTTTAAGCACATATTTAAAGTTCCACAAAGCTTCAGTATTTTTCTTTAATCTCTTCTACATTAATTAACCCAGGTCACACGCTGACTAATCAAGACCTAATCACTCCTTAAACACTCTCTGCCTCAGAACCCCAAACTATCTCTCCCTAGCTCTCCCTGAATCGGATTGACTTCTCTCCCTGGCTCCGCCTCACAGCCATATTACCATACAATTTATGAGTAATGCATGAATTATAGTGCATAAGTTTGGGTGGACGCCACACTTCTGCTTGTGTATTTTTATTTTCCACGGAGATGCCCAGCAACCTCTCCCGTTCATTTACAAGAACCCCGCGCCCCGGGAAAGACGGAGAAATAGTCCTTTAAATATCTGGGTCGAGTCATTCAGGGACTTCCCGCCTTCTTATAAGCATATTCAAACCAGGAAGGCGGACCGGCCAGCGAGGGCGCCGCCCTCACATCCCTATCCAAATGAAAGCTGCTGATCGCTGACGCACCATCACACCACGAGCCGCTTTGCTCGCTGATTGGCCAACGGAGACCTGGTCTCATTGACAACAAGCCGGAGGAGCGCGCGCGGCTGTGGATCCTCACAGGTGGATTGGGCGGAGTACGGAAGGGCTGGCCCAAGATGGCGCCGCCGGGGGTGGCTCGCGCTGGCAGCGGGCGCTGAGGGAGCGCCGCCTGGCCGAGGAAGGGTTAATGCCCTGGGTGTTGCCGCGGCCGCCTCTCCTTCGGACGGAGTGGCTGTGGCGGAGCCGGCCGTGCCTCGCCGGCTATGGAGAGCGGCGAGCTGAACAGCATGGAGACTATGGAGACCCTCACGGAGCTGGGCGACGAGCTGACTCTGGGCGACATCGATGGTGAGTGAGCCCAGGGTGGGCGCTCGGGGGGGGGGCGTCCACGACCGCCCCCGAGATAGAGCCGTGGCCGGTAGAGAGTGGCCGAGGACTCCGCCGTGGCCGCCTGTCCCCCCAGCTGCTTCTCTGCTGCCTCAGGCCCCACAACCACCACAGCGTTGCTACTCTTCCCTAGGTGGAGGACCCACCTCGGACGGCCCTAGGGAGATGGACGGGCAGGTGACGTGCCTCTCACAGTTCACAGTGCAAAATGCGCGAAAGGTTCCTGTATGGACCACATAGTAGACATTAAAACAGTTCCTGTGCCTCTTCTGTAGACACCGGCCCCACTGTAGAAACCTCGCTGTTCCTGTAGAATCGCCTGTGCTTGTGGGATTGCAGCGCCACGCTGTATATGCAGTCATCAGAGAGGTTGGAGGCGTCATGATTTCAGTGGGCCTCACACTTCAGTAGCTAGTCTTTGGATCTGTGTCAGCCGGAGAAGTTTTGAAACGGGTCGGATAGAAATCATTAGGATGGGATCTTGGTGTTTCGAGATGATGTTTGTTGGAAGGCCCTCTCTTCCCCCTCTCCTGCTCCGCCTTGTGCCTTGACAAAATCCAGAAAGTGAAGTTAGTATTGTTCGGTTAGTTGCATCATTTCACAGATAACAGACTCTCATGTAAATAAAGTGAATGTATAGGGTACAAGGCAATGGCAATTAATATGCTTGAGTGTATGGAGAGTGTTACAAAGGAGGAGTATCATTTTTGTAAAGTTTAGTCTCACAGATAACAGACTCTCATGTAAATAAAGTGAATGTATAGGGTACAAGGCAATGGCAATTAATATGCTTGAGTGTATGGAGAGTGTTACAAAGGAGGAGTATCATCTTTTTTGTAAAGTTTAGTTATTTCTAGGACAGACTTGGACAGTATGAGGCATTGTTTATAATGGCTCAGCATTTGAGATAAGAGGGCAGTTCAAAAACATCCGAGTAGCAAAGGTTAAGAACCACTGGTTTAGGGTATAATGGCTCAGATAAGAGCATCTGGTTTAGTGGATATAGTGTCAGAGGAGGACTCATACAGCCTAGATTCAGATTGATCATGGAACCTAGTGGTAAACTATTCTGTCAACATCACACATATCTGGAAAATCTTTTTGGTAGCACCACAAGTTGGGAGCAGTTTGGCAGCATAGAAAAACAGTTTTAAGAGTCTCTCATTTTGATTTACCATATTATGTGTGACATGAAAGGCAGGTTTGTGTAACTTGGGTACAGTTGCTACTAGACATACATAACTCTTAGCTTCCAGATTTTCTGCATTGGGTAGTGTTACCAGGCATCTATTTCCGTATGGCTGGAAAAACTGAACCTACTATGATTAAAATTGCCACCTAATTCAAAAATCTAAATGTATAGACCAGTCACCAGGATAGAATTTCAACAAGTGTTGTAGTGGCATTTACATTAATGTACTGTATTAGAGTTTTTTTTTAAAGTAGCAAATGGAGAAGTACAGTTCGAAAGCATGTAAAAATGTGAGTTGATAAATAGGAACCATCTCGAGATAAATAGGAACCACCTCGATGGGAAGGTGACAGCATTCTGTGACTAGTCGTGCTGGCCACGTGACCATGGAAACTGTCTCCGGACAAATGCTGGCTCTATGGCAGACCTGGGCAAAGTGTGGCCCGAGGGCCACATATGGCCTGCGAGCCACTCCTCTTTGAACATCAAAACCATTTATAGCTTTTTGTCTAAAGTTGATCAGTTGCTTATCTTTAACATACCGCAAAAAACCTCTTTAGTATTTGTTAAGATTAAGAAGTTTAAAATAAAAACAATCATAACATCACTGTTTTATTTTTAAGTAAAGTTGGTTCGGCCCCTGAACACAGTTCAGATTTTTCATGTGGCCGCCTATAGAAATCAGTTGCCCACCCCTGCTCTATGGCTTGGAGACAGGGATGAGCACCGCACCCTAGAGTGGGACACGACTGGACTAAATGTCAAGGGTAACCTTTACCTTTATTGTATATATATGTTTCTGATGTTTGCCTTCCTTCATACTGTTCTGCTGTCTTACTCTTCTCATTCTAGGTATATTCCAGTTTTTTCATTAACTACTTTTGCTTCAAGTTGCCGTTATTTGCTAGTTTCACCATGATAAGAACATCTATTTTGAAATCCTTGCCAAAACCTAATGTTCAGCAATATGAAGGGCTGGAAAAGTTCCCCTTCAGAAGAATGTCAAAGTCCCAGTGGTCTCAGCACCTTATTCAGGTCAGAAACAACATTGGCAAGGACCCAATAAAGGAAGTGAGATCCTCTTACGTGATCAGCTCCTAAAGTATCTTACAGTAACTTGGCCATGAAAATTCACTGGGGGAGTGGAACAGGAAAAAACACTCTTTAAATTAGAGATGGTTATTTGTATCCGTATGCAAATATCCCCTCACATGTGAAGATAACGAGGGTCCAGCCCCATGAGGCCAGATGGTTCAGTCACGAGTCTGCCACTGCCGCGACCACTGTGGAGCCTTCCAGTGGCTCCAGAGAACGTGTTTGGCTCACCACTCCTGGCAGGAGGTGGGATGACAAGCCTCTTTGCTAGGTTGAAGAGTGGCTCGCCAAACGCATTCTCTGGAGCCATTGGAAGGCTCTGCAGCAGTCACGGAAGCAGCGGACTCATGAGTGGACCCTCATTATCTCCACCTGTTGGGGAATCTTCATATACAAATACTCCATCTCTACTTTAAATATTTAACTTACCTTAAAAAGCCCCGTTAGGATTACTGTAAATTGGTTCAAACTGGATGGATGTATTTCTCCCTACAGCTTGTGAGGAACTAATGTAGGGAACACTCCTGGCAGGAGGTCTAGATATGTGTGGTCTAGATATGTGTGTAGAAATATAAAAGTGTATTGTTAAAAGCAATTGTACTGTGGTACAAAGTTGTAGGATGTCTAAGCTGGATGTTCTGTTACTTGTACCATTACTGAAGTATGTTTTAAATCCATAAGATTTTCCCCATAATTTTGAGTGCTGTCTCATTGCAGAATAATTCTGCTTTAAACAAAACAGTAACCAAAACATTTATTTTAACTGGTACCAGCTCCTCTTGTTCTCCAGCTGTAGTGCAGAAGACAGAGCACAACCCAGAGTGGAATACATGGTCTGCATATGGAAGTTTCTGCATTCAGTACTGAGAAACTTGAGGGAAAAGAGCTTGGACAAAGTAGAGCCGAGGAAGACCTTTGTCCAAGACGAGCCACTGCTGTTTGGAATAGACAGTGCTGTGCCGGATAAACAGTTGCTTAACACAATATGATAGGTTTCATACCTTCAGTGATATTTAGGAAATTAGGTGGCTATTGTTCTCCCATGTACCACTATGATACACTATGTAGCTCATAGCTGATCTCACTGGTCATATCAGGGCCTAGGGTCTCCTGAAGAAAATTTGAAATAAAAATTGTGAAGACTGGGCACACATGCTTCTGAAATGACAGCTAGGTAGAGAACATTTGTCTAAACAATACAAGCACTAATACATATATCCAGTTTTGGTGCTTGTGTCTGTTAAGTGCTTATGTTCCTAATTCTTGTATTTTAAGCTTTTCAGCAGTACTCTGAATTAATGACAGCTAAAAATATTTGTCTAACAGGTAGAGAAATTTGTATAAAGTTTTCCTGCCCCAGCTTTTAAAAGCTAATGGAATTCCTTTTTTTCTTGTGTGTTTTGAGCATGAGTCAAGATAATTAGACTTTCAGTGTATCCCTTAATATAGTACTTCACTGTGGAGGAACATTTTCCAACATTTTAAATTTCCTTTTACGAAAACATTTATTTCCTTATTGCACCTTTTTTACTCAACATTTGCACATTTCAGGCAGTCATAATATTTATAAACTTTCCAATAGGATATATAAATGAAGTGGAATATATATATATATGTTGCCAAAAGAGAAAAAACACTTTCCTTGAGCCGTGGCACTCAAAAATCATATTGTAAGAACTAAGTAATCATCCTGAGAGGTGTGAAATGAAGCTAATATTTTTAAAGAAGTGGCACATGTCAGACATAACTTCTTAAGGCTGAAGGGTTTGTTTTACAGATAGCTGATACTGGCAAAATTTTTACTGATTTCAGTTCCTTAGGGATGCTTTTATTAGGGAGTTATCTTGTGTCATTCATGGATCTTTACCTGTGGATCTCTGTATATGTATATGTCTCAACTTTTCCACCTGTTAAAATTGTGTAATACTGCATTTTGATTATGTAAGGAGTCAAGTTTCTAGAGGCATGCACTGTAAGTAGAAAAAATGATTGTTTTATTTGTTGTAGACTGGACCACAATACTGTTTCTTAATACAGTGGTGCCTCGCATAGCGAGGTTAATCCGTTCCGGATTAACCTTCGCTGTAGCGAAACATCGCTGAACGGATCAAAAAAACCCATTGGAACGCATTAAACATCGTTTAATGTGTTCCAAATGGGCCGAAAACTCACCGTTCAGCAATGCTTCCTATAGCCGGAAGCCATTTTCGTGCCCTCGTTAAGTGAGGGGAGGGTGCGAAAACGCTGCGCGCGGCCATTTCGGGGCTTCCGGCGGCCATTTTGTCCGCCTAACAGCTGATCGTCGGGGCTTCGTTTTGCGAAGATCGGTAAGCGAAACGCTTGCCGATCTTTGCAAAGCGAGTTTCGCCCTATCTAAACGATGTTGAGCGATCGCATTAGCGATCCCAAAAAAGGGATCGCTATGCGATTTCGTCGTTGTACAGTGCGCTCGTTAAGCGAGGCACCACTGTATGTTTTTAATTTTTTATGATATTGTACTTGCTAAGGTCATACAATTACATTTGATTTAAGAGGCAGAGGATATGCCATTAGTTTCTGGTACTGTACATTGGATATCTCTATTGATGGTACTAATCAACTCAAAAACATTTTTTATTTTTTGAATATCAGATTGTTCTGATAATTTGAATCCTGATATGAATAGGGCAAATTA